AAACATAAAAGGCTGGCATGGTTAAACCAGTGGGACAGTGGACTGGCCTTACTGGAACACTCCTCAAGAACCTCTCACATTGCCTGAGGTTGGGGTGCTGTGCTTATAAGGCTCTCCTGCAGAACTGGAAGTGTGAGATTTCAGATCATCTTTTCACTTTTGTCTCTTCTGTTGTCTTTTTTTGTTAAGGTCACTCGACTCTTTTCCCTGGGGTTTCCCATCAATTCTAGAATAACCTGGAGGCAGGTTTTAGAGCCAGGATTTAGGTATCCTTGAACTACTAAAGTTGCGTGCAAAACTATATGTGTATGAGCATATTTCTGGATCGACTCCTTTTAAAAAAAAATGTTCTTACTAAATATTCAACTCCAGAAATGCAGAACTACGTGAAAGTGTGGGTGGGCAGCACGCATGTGCCCATCTATGAACAGCAGCAGATGCAGACCCAGTGTGCCCGCTTGGCCCTCCTCTTCTTCCCGAGCTGGCCTTTCCCTGTATTTTCTGGGAGGGTTCCTCCCTGTTATTTTCTGCTCCCAATCATAGGCTTCTGATGGCCTCTCGGCCACCACCCAGCTACAGGGGTCAGCTGGCCATGGAGCCACACACCAGCAGCAAGTGAACGAGGAGACAGAGCCTAGCGTTGGGCATACGTGTGTCAGCGGGAGGGGAAGCCTGGAAAGTCTCCCGCACTGTGCTTGTGGTTGTGTGGGGTGGGGGAGCTGTCCTCCCTGACGCCGTCTTTGTAGTCAGGAAAGGGCATTCTCCAGCTTGCCCGTGTTCTCCCTTCAGCACATCTTCTAACAACCACGGGCAGTGAGAGCAGAGCAAACATGCCCATTTCAGAGGATAAGAGACCTAGGGACTAGCAGGTGGGAATATGGTTTCTGGTTTCCTGTGTTTCATGCTATCCTTGTCACTTTTTGTAGAAGATAGTTCATTTCTGGAAGTACCTCAAACAATTCTATCAGTTTCCTCTGAATAGCTGATCCCTGAATGCATTTCAAATCTCAGGTCCAAAGTCTTCTCCTCCATGAGGAGCTTGTGCCTTCTAAAGGAAGCTCTTCCTTCTGGTTCTTCCCACCACAGCATCTCTCTCTTTCCTGTGTACACTTATCATGAGCTGGGGTTTCCGTGTTTATTGTCAATCACTCCCTGGTAGAATGTAAGTTCCATGAAAGAAGGAACATGTCTAGCTTGCCCACTGCTCTGTCCTCAGCACAAAGAATAGTGCTTGGCACAGAACAGATGCTCAGTAAATGTTTGTTGAATGATCAGTTAATCCAATTTAATAGAGATGATTGGTTGTTCTAACAGCAATAGATAAAAGGACAAAGTGGTTTCCCCTGTCCATAATCTCAGTATGAATCAATAGGTGTCATTTGTGTGACTGCAATAATGCAAGTAAAGTTTCTGGGTTCAGTACTGGACATCCAATGAACATTTGTGAACACCCACCAAGGGGCAGACCCTGTTTGAGGTGCTGGGGTACAACAGTCAAAAAGTGCAAAGGCCGGGGGAAGAAGCAATAGATGAGTGGGAGGAAGAGAAGCCATAAAGGTAGGTAGGGGTCAGCATGGGGCCTTGCAGGCCATGGTAAGGATGTGGAGAAGGTGGCCCCAATCTCCTCCACACTGACTGGTCCACACCAAGGGTATGGCTTTCTGTTCCAACTGAGTGTGAGAGAGGGAGACAAACGGGCTGAGAGGGCCACCACAATCTCTAGGGGACTCAAATCCACATCACAGGGTGGGAATGGAGCAGCCATAGGAACTGAAGATAATCAGTTTAAGGAAGAGAAGACCTAGGGAAGACACGAGAGCTCTCTGCATGTCTGCAGAACTGCCATGTGGAGGAGGGATGAGCCTTGTTTGCTTTTAAGTTCTGTGTGGACCAAGAGCTAGAACTGGCACTGATGAGCGAGATCTCTGAGGAGGCAGATTTGGGCTTCCTAGAGAGCAGACAGACCTGAGAGTGAAGCCCGCCATGACTCGAGCAGGCTGCAGTGGGAGGGGCAGAGTCTCACTCCCGGAGACGGTTAAGTACAGGCTGGATGGGAGTATTAGCAACATATGTCATTGCTGTTTACACTGATGATCAAGTCAGAGTACTCTCCTGGTTGCCAGATGAGACTTTGATGGTCTCTTGGTGCATAGATTTCGCAGAATCTCTCCCCTTCAATTAGGTCACATGTGTTCTCCAACAGCGAGACTAAGCAGGTAATGGCATGAGTCAGCAGGTCATTTCATGGATGGCTCGGACAGGAAAGCTTGATTTCCACTAAACTTCTAAAAGCAGGAAGCTGAGATATGCAGAGTTAACTGCCAGGCCAGGGCAGCTGTGTGTCTGTTGAGGTCTAAGAAAGGGAGATCCCCCTCAGCAGGTGTGACTCCAGTAAACATCCAGGTAATCCACCTACTTTCAGAAACTTGGAGGTGAAGGACACTGATAAATAACACCTCCTGTTTTCCTTGCTGCCTTTGGAATCTTCCTAGGGCCTGTTAACTCTTCAGGGGAGCTTTTTGCACGAAGGACAAGTAGTCAGGACTGCTCCTTAAGCCCAAAATTCTTTGAGAAGCTCTCTCTGCAGATGACTGAGCACAGGGTCAGATTGCAGCAAAGCCACTGCAGATTCTGGGTCTCTGTTGTCAAACTCAGGTCACAGGGCTTTGAAAACGTCAGCATTTTATCCTTTTTGAGTGAGGATTAACATGTCTGTCAGGCTGTTACAATGCATAACTGTTCTGAAGAGCTAAGTATTTGGTTCATGATGTTAGGGGCAGTGAGAGGTATTTTTTCTGATAAAAAAAAGTGTTGCTCAAAAAGGCAAGCATTCATTAATTAAACAGATCCTTAACACTGCTGACAGAGTGTTAAATGAGGCAGAATTTACCGATTTATCAGAAATTTCCCAGCTATGACCATAACAGGTGATAGGAACAGCAGAAATAGTCATAGCCAATGACAGGTCACTCCCTGCTCAAGAACTTGCTGTAGCTCTCTAGACACCCAGGTCCCCTTCCTCAGCTGAGTGTGTGGAGACTAACGGACACTGGGCCTTCTCGAATTAGCCTGGTAGCCCAGCCACTCTAACAACACAGACTGCCCCACCAAGCCAGTTCTCTTGGAATCAATAAATCCATCACACCGCAAGGTTTACTGAGTTTCTGCCATGTTGGGAAGCCCTAGTCTTTGTCCCGAAGGAATTCCTGTTCTGTTGAGGAGACCAGGCCAGCAGTTATGAAGCAGTCAGCAAGCAGTCCAGTGCTGCATGCACAGTATGGATTCCAGATACCAGAAGGGATGCGGGAAGGGCCTGGAGGAGAAGGTGAGAACGGGGGCTCCTGTGGCTGGCTGCGACAACATGTACAGCAGTGTGGAGGTGGGGGACAAGGGCAACAGCACCACTCAGGCAGCCAGGACTGGGCTGGAATCCACCGCCCTCCACCCACCTGGTTTCTGTGCAGCTGTGGGGGACAGTCCCATGCGATAGCCAGCGTCCCACCTGAAGCACTGCTTCTCTGTTTTGCTTTCTGCAAACCACAAGCTGCTCAGCTGCACGCAGAGGTGGCACAAAGGTCTACTTCCAAGTGCTGGGAAGATAATGTCCCCAGAGGCAAGTCTCAACCAGGGGGATGAGCCACAAGGGAAAGATGTCCCAGACTCCCTGTCCTCTGGCATGACAATTCTGAGGCATGCAATACCTGGCTCCTCAGGGGCCCCCAGGAAGACCAGACTGAGCCTCAGTTGCCCACAGAAGTGATCACCTCACCAGTGCACCCTTTTCTGCCTTTTCTCCCCTTGCTGTCTCTCTTTTCTGATTCCCTCACTTTTGTTTCTTGGGATCATCTGCCAAGTAACTATCTGCTCTCATGTCTCTGTCTCAGGGTCTGTTTTGGGGAACCCATTAAGGCAAGGATTTAAAATCTAACTGAATTATACGCTCTGCTTCGCTGGCCAGATCAGAGCTTCCAGAGGCAGGGGCTCTCCTGTTCCCAAAGGTTCTTTCTGTCCTTGGGCTCCTGCTGCCTCATGCTATGAGCCTCAAACCCTCCCACAGAGCAGGGCAGCGACTGCTCAAAAACTGCTGATAATAACTGTAGCCACCATTTATTGGGGGTTATGAGCCAGGCACTGTGCTAAGAAGAATGTTCTCAAACCTTGTTTGATTTAAGATTCACAGCCACCTTGGTTACGTTTCCTAAATTAGAAAACTAAAGTTTCCTAAAAGAAAACTTTTCTCTCCTGGATCACCTGGCTAGTCAAAGGCAGAGGTAGGTCTGGAACTCAGGCTTACAAAATCAAAATGTCTGTGTTCTTAACCACTGGGCCACAGGGTCGATTTCTTGTTTGGGGAATGGGATGGGACCTGGCAGGAGGTATAGAGGATAGAGCTAGTACACCAGTCATTGTCTTGACAATGCTCCTTTCCAAACTCCTCCAGCCCTGTCCTCTAACTGCCATAGTTGGGAGGAGATCCATGGAGTCACCTTCAATTAACTGGAGCCTGGAAGGCAGTGAAAACTTTTGAGTAATTAAGCACTGACTGGACACCAGAGAATATATGCCCTTAAGGAATCAAAGACAGGGATAATAGCATCTTAGCCCTTGAAGCCCAGAAGTAGGAAAGGACCCAAAAGCAGAGCTCTCCCCCCTCGCCCCCCCACTCCCACCGCACCCACTTGGAGAGCAGTATATTTTGCAAATAGCAGTTTCCATTCAGAGCTCATTTGCTTGGTGAATTTAACCTGTCCTGATGGACTTCACCGAAATGATCCAGTCCTCTACCACAGGAACAAAGGCACTGCAGGGGTGCTGGCTGGGTCTGACTGAAGAAGGAGAATGTGACACCACTGGCAGCAACAGGTGGAGAGAAGAAAGCCAGGATGGAGAAGGGGAGGCCGGCCGGGAGAGGAGCACGGACACCCCTGAGTGAAGGGCCCTCGCCCGCCCTTCCCACTCCTGCCTCTGGACTCCTGTTCATATCACTGAGGACTTAGTACCTGGGTTCCTGGCTTCAGGGATGCCACAAGGTCCTTGACCATTTTGGCTTCGGAGACCGTGATCCCACCTACCACAAAGAGGATCAGGAGGGGGTGGTCGTTGGGATGAGGCCGGCTCACCTGCAAAACAAAACACCACCAGCGTCAGGACATATGGGGCTGGCGCAGGGCGCTGTGCAGCTGGGCGCAGCCTTCATTCCACCTCCACGGGGGCCCAGGCTGCCACCCTCATAAAGCAGGTGAAAGAAACAACCCTGAGAGAGATTATGATTTATTAGTGAACAGACGTGCTGGTGGTTTGTGAACTCATTAACCTGGAAAATGCATAACATGTCACGTTATTATATCTTTTTAAATAAAGATTTTATTGAAAGAAAAGTTAAAGGAGCAGGAGCTACTAAACAAGAAGAGAAGGCTAAGGGACAACTTATTCCTTCCGTGTTGTTCTTCAGGTCTCAGCATAAACGTGTCCCCTTCTTTGCTGCATGGCTCTGTTCAATTCCTTCAAAGCGTTTCCACAGCCTGTGGTTATCGTATTCATTTCCTTGTTGGCTGTCTCCTCCACGAGGGTAGGGACCTCGTCTGCCTGGTTCACTGCTGAATTCCCAGCTTACCTAGCGCCATTCCTGGCACACACTAGGTGTTCATAAATCAATAAATGTGTGTAGAATTAATGACTAGTTAAAGCTCTAGGCAGGACGTGGTGGAGGGGTGTGAAAAGATGTAAGAGACAAGCCCCCCCACCCCCCTTGCTAAAGGAGCTTATGGTCTAGCACAGATGTAAAGCCCTTAGCTTCTCTGAGCCACCCTTCGATGGGGACTGACGCTGTATGGAACCTACACTAGACACTGTGGTAAATTCCTCCTGACTCCTTATCACCAGTGAGGCAAAGTGTTATTATTTATACTAATATGAGAGTGACTTGCAGTAGCCTCTCAGGAAATGCAAAATGACCAATAAACAGTGATGGGGACACTTACAGGGACAAGAGGGGTCCTGCAGACAGTATGTTTTGAGCCCTATCTGGAAGCCAGAGGAGAAATGGTGCAAGCCAAGTTCAGGAGACAAGCAATCACCAGCTGGGTGCAGCAGCTGGAGGCCCAGCCAGGACATGGCCACATAGAGTCGGAGCAGGAAGGCTGCTGCCAGCTGCCCGCAGGGCCGCTGAAGCCAGAAAGTGGGAGAAAAGGCTTCACCCCCAGCAAGGAGAGGGGCAAAGGATGAATGTGTTCCCTCACACTCACTAAGGCACGAGCCATCGTGGGCCACGGACAGTCCTAAGAGCAGCAGGGTAGGGCAGCTGGCCCAGAGGGAGCCCTTCTTCTCAGACCTGACCTGTCTCCTCTCTCAGCTGGGTTCTGGCTCCCTTGCCTGAATATACCCACTTCTCAACATCTTATTTTAAAAGCACTTAAAAGCATAATACATTAAGTGTTCCAAGTTATATGTTACTCCTTGGATTCTGGAGAGGAAATGCACAGTGGGAAGGGAGGGAGGAAGGAAGGAAAGAAGGAAGGAAGGATGAAGGGAGGAAAGACAGAGGACAGAGAGGGTGGGGAGAAGATCTAAAGGTTTTCAGAGTGGGAGATGGTGAATTCCAGAAAAAGTTACAAGACTCCTTCAACTTTAGAAAAAGAGCCCGGACTCCTGGTCCCCCCCCAACATCCTGCACTGTGTCTCTCCTTCCCCTTGACTGCACGTGCTGTCTGCCTTCTTCCAATCCACAGCAACCCTGCTGTGGTCCCGTTATTCCCCTGGAATTGCTCTCCCCAATGTCACCATTGGCTGCCTTATTGAAAGTCAATAGTCACTTCTTTGTCTTCATCTAACCAGATGTTTTGGTGGCATTTGTCACAGTTGATGACACGCTTCTTGGCTACCACGATGACACTCTCTTGGTTGTTTCTTCTACCTTTCTTTCTTCTCAGACGCCTTCATAGGTCCCTTTCTTGGCCCTCCCTCACACGCCTGTTACCTAGGGCTCCGCTGTTGCTCTTCTCACTCAGCACCCCAGCCCTGAAGGACCTCATCTTCTCATATGCCCTCAGCAGTCTTTGATATGCTTCCCAATCTATGTCTTTAGACAAACACCTCTATTGAGCTCCTGCGGACCTCACCACTTGGATGTCTCCCAGGATTCCTAAACTCAAAAGGTTTCAAATTAGATGCATGATCTTCCCCCCAAATCTATTCCGTCTCTTGAATTTCTGACAGCATCGCCACCTTCACAGTCAGCTGAGCCAGACATATGCGTGTCACCTTAGACTTTGCTGTCTCTTTCATCTCCCAGATCAAGTCCTATTAACTCTGCCCCTCAGAGTTACTGATACCCCTTCAATTCCCCCTGCCCATTACTTCTTCACTGCGTTATTGCTGTAGACTTTTGATCTGTCTCCCTGTCCTGGGTCCGGCCATCTCCACCTGTTCTCATTCTGCCTAGTAAGCTTTCTAAAATACAAGTATTTATTATTGAATATAGTGAGTACTATGCTAAATATTTTTTGTACACTATCTTATTTAATTCTCAAAATATCTTTGAAGGCAATCACAATTATTAGTATGTTTTTCAGATGAAGAGATTGAAGTTTGCACACAGTAACTAAATTGTGGAGCCAGGGGCCAAACTCTGGAGGTGACACTCTTCAACACCCCTCAGCTCCATTACCTGCTCAGACTCTCCGCATAGAGTCTCAAAGCTCGGAGGACAAAGGCCAAACTTTCAATTCAGTATACAAGGCTCTCATAATGTGGCTTTGGTCTACATCTCTATTTTCATCTCCACATATGCTATTTGCTGGAGCCATTCACAGTGACTTGTGCCATGCTTGAATTCATGGTTTTTTGCTTTTTTGAACATTTTGTTAAACATATGACATGTTTTTGAATATAGGCACTGAAAAGTGCACTTTTCATACATGTACAACTTGATTTATTTTTACAAATAAAACAAACCTGTGTGACCAGCTCCCTGATCAAGAAACAGAAACCTAGCACTCTGGCACCCTCTCTTGCCCCCTCCTCTCACGATCTCCTTAAGGTAACAACCATCTTGACTTCTAACACTCTACATTGTACTTTGATTTTTTTCACTCAACTATATTTCCTGGAGATTTTCCATACTGTAGGAAAGATCTGTAGCCCATATGCACTGGTAGGGACCACACCAGTGGATTTTGGCCACTGTGAATGCCCATGACATTCCAGTTATTAGTTTCAGCATCATCTATGTCATATTGTTTTATGTAGCATTTATAGTTTCCTCTGTGTAAAGTACCCTCACCTTCCTCTTTATCTCCCTCCCTCCTATTCTCCTTTAAAAGCATTCCCTCCTCTGAGCAGGTCTTCCTAGCCATCCCCGCACTGCTGCCCCACGATGGGATCTGACAGGCTCCTTTGTCATGGCCTTGTTAAATTGGACTGCTGCCCTGATAGAACGGCCTGTCTCCTCTCTCAGACTGGAAGCTTCTGGAGGGCAGGGACTGAGCATACTGATCTTGGTATTTTCGGTGCTGAGCATAGTACCTAGCACATGGTAAACCTTCAGTAAATGTCACATGAATAAAACAGATAAATGAATGAATAAACCAGGGGCACAGGTTAGCAGGATATGGCCTTCTTCTCTTAGAGATCTTTTAGAAATTCTCCCTTTGCTTTCCGTGTGGTTCTTTTGGCTGAGTAACTAACCCCGAGGTTCCTTCCAGCCCTACAAACAATTGTTGTTCCTTACTTAATCCTGGGACAGAAATACAACTGGCCCCAGAACTTCAATGTGGTACAATATATTTCCAAGGACATATGTTTTCCATAAGAGAGTCTGGAATCTGAAGTACATTGTGAGAATCTTGGAAGGACATATTGAAAGATGAAAAGAGAAAAAGAAAGAAAGAAATGAACTGCAATAACAAGAGCAATACCCTGAGGACGAGGAGTGGAGAGAATGTTGGTTTTGGTACAAATAAATGGGTCCAATTAATGCATGTTGGTGTTTGCTATTTTGTTTAGATTTATTTCTGTTTAGATTTAGGTTTTGATACCAGACTTTCCTTTTAGAGCGTGTCAAGTCAGCAGGGTGGTGGGAAGTGGAGTCCTTTCAGTCCTGTTCATCAGAATAACACATTCCTTATCATGTGTGGCTGAGCCCCGTTTGTACATCACTTCGTGGTAGAAGGCACTTTGAAGATGAAAGGTTTAAGCATCATTATTGCCATTGTAAATGCACAGATTAATAAAGCAAGTTAACTTTTCATTTTTTTTCATTTTCTAAACCTTTGCTGGCTGTGATTTTAACACATCAGTTCTGGTCAGAGAATACAGTTTTGTTCTACCATCCCATCCCAGCCTTTGCAGCAGAGGCTGCCTGGACCCTCTCTGCATGTGTGGGCCCCTGGGAGAGCTCTTTGATGTCCTGACTGACTCCTATCACTGGGGTTGTCAAGAGAAGGATTTCTGCTGCTTCTGGCTTCTATGGAGCTCTCCAGGAGTTCTGGGAATCCTGTCGCCAATTCTTCTTCCACGTTATTTACTTCTCTTTCACCCAGTTCCTCTTCATCTGTGATTCACTTGTCCCTAGAACACGCAAAGGTCAGGTCCCCCATTCTCCAACAGTGGGCAGGGCCTTGTATCAGGGAGAAAGTGCAACAGGCGGCTTGGCCTTAAAGAGCACCAGGCACTGCAAACACCTATACTGACTTGGACAATGGTCTTTGGTAACAGCTTTTCTCCCAACAGGAATTAATAATAGCGTTTCACACAGCCTCCGAACACTTCATGTCTTAGTTTTATTCATTTATTTGTCCATTCAACAAATATCTACCGAGCAACTTCTATGGGCCAGATGCTGCTCTAGGCATCAGGAATTGAGCAGTGAACCAGAGAAGAGTCTCTGCTGTCTCAGAGCTTATATTTTAGTTGGCGGAGAATGACAATAAATAAAATAGTAAGTAAACTGGTAAGGAAGGACGGTGGTAAGTGCTGTGGAAGAGAATAAAGCAGGGGAGAGGCAAGCATTACTTTATGCCATCCTTGGAATGTGTGAAGTAGGAGAAGCCCCATTTTACAGATTGTGACACTGAGGCTTACAAAGGTGAAATAACTTGTCCAAAGTCACTGAACCAGGAAG